CATTCAACTCGCCCTTTCTCTTTTAATCTTCCCTCTCCCTCCCCACGTCATCACTGCTCTCTCTCTCTCTCTCTCTCTCTCTCTCTCTCTCTCTATCTATCTATCTATCTATCTCTCTCTCTCTCTCTCTCTACTCGCATTCTTCTTTACGCTGCCTACTCGTCCCTAGCCACACTCTTCTCATTTCGCAGCAAAATTCAGTTGCCCAAACTTTATTTATGGAATAATAAAAATCTCTCGGCGTAACAATGTGAGCTAAATATCGTCGTAGACGCGATATAAAGGGCAAAGCATTTCGTTGGGGGGAAGGCGGTCGACGCAAAATGATCCTTTCAGCCTCGTAAAGAAGAGCCTCAGTGAATAAAAGACTTTTTGCAAGCGATCGCGCCCGCTTCCGACGAGCCTTATCGCGGTCGACCGGACGACAGCGTCGCGTCGCCTTCCTGATAACGGGGGACGCCTCCTCCGTCGCGAGGAATAACGACCGGCCGACCACCCAGTGCTTTTGGCGCCGTCTTCATTCGGACTTTTTTTTAAAGAGTAATTGCATTGCCCGCTCTACCTTTTGCTCGAGGGCTTATACCTAAATCATGAGAAACGACCTCAGGAGCTTAAAGTTTGAATTAGACGACGATAAGAGCGCGTAATGTTATTTTACACAATATTTATTCCGTTGTCCGACGCGACGGGGCTTGGGTCATTTATTTGTTTGGTCAATCTAGGTGTCTTGTTTCCTCTAACACACATGCTTCTAATTAATAAAGCTTTTTTATTTGTGATAATATTAACTAATGTTTTCTGTAATAATTTGGATTGTCAAGTGTATGTAATTGCTAATGTGTTGAATGGATTGGGTGGGGGTTGTTGGTATTGTTGTGGGGGAGTAAATAACACCGAGCTAAATCAGTGTTTATGTTTTAATACAATTTTACAGATTTTTACACATAAAAAGTGTGGTTGGACCAATAAATTACATAATGTGCAATAAATAGAGTATTTTAACGAGTAATTAATGAAATTTGTCATTTCTTTTCATTCGAGATTCATTAAATCGAGGTTGAAATGTCCAAACGCATATTTATTGATTTTTACTTTATTAATGCGTAGACATAGTCACTCTTTCACATAAAAAGCGTGAAAAAGTTTTCTCAAACGTATATATCGACAGCGAACATAAACAAATATTCAAAAACAAAAGAATGAAAGCAATATTTCTATATATATTATATATATATAAAATAAAAGTAGTATTTTGAAAGATTTACGATTGAACTTGATGAAAGTTGGTACACATCCTGTTATTTTGGTTCATTGAACTTTCCTTTTGTATCGCTCATAGTGTCCTCTTTCGTACTTAACATTTTATCGTTTGTTTAGATAAATGTAAGTAATTATTATTATTATTATTATTATTAGAATGTCTTGATGTTAATTTGGCTGAGGCGCGAGACATTGTGCGAGAAATAAATAATAAAACAATTATACAACAATTATCGAAACTGACCGTATAGTTAAATGTATTTCCACTACTCGGCAATACAAATGAGTCTTAATAGCGAAAAATTTATAGAAATTATAAACGGGCGTCTACATATTTAAGAATTAGAAAATTATCGATGTTTAGTGGTAAAAATTTATTACCTATTTTGAAAAAGCGCATAACGGTATCGCAAAGGCCAAAAGTTTCTTTCGTTTTAGTAGAGAAGTTCGTAATTTCTGTATCTATCAATGAATGAATTTACGAGGTGAAAGATGTTTAAAAGCGACGATAATTTAAAACCGAGGAAGTATCGTGAACGTATGGGAGCTGGCTGCTTAAAATTCATATGTAAGGATAGGGATGGAGGTAGCATTTTCAATTTGAGAGAAAACGAGCAGCTGGGCGCTCGTCGATAAAGCAGTTTCCGTCGTTAAAAGCAATCCTCGAGGCACTCGTCCAAGAATAAATTGAGCGTAAATCGTCGTGGGCTGACAGAGCGACCGAGGTGTAGGCAAAACTACGCCGCTTCAATGGTAATACTCGGGAGCTGTCTCCTTCATGGGGATTAGGTACGCACACACGCACACCTTGTGTGCACATTTCTATTTGAGGAGGTTCGAAGGGCGGGGAGGGGGGGGGGGTAAAGATTTGCAACCCTACCTGCTTGCTCAGAGCGTGAGGAATCGTTGGAGTTGAATTTCGGCGTCGGCGGTCGCTGCCACGTTTTACAGGGCGTTGTTAGGCTACGTGGCGTTGAAACGGGGTTGGGGAAGGCGGTAAGGGGCGTGGGCGGCAGCGAGGAGTAGGAGGTCCGAGGACGCTCGGCCACGTGTTTGGAAAGAAAAGTCTCTCGAGGATTCTCCTAAACAACTTTCAACTGCCATCGCGTGCATCTTTTATTTTGGCGGAGCTGTGCCGTCGATGAGCATGTGTGTAATACCATTGTTGGCGGCTCTGGTGCTACTACCATTAGAGCGACTTAAGTAATTTTTTATCAACTATTGTAATTGGCAATTAAATCGTAGTTTTTAATGATTGTGGAAGGCCGACTGATTCAATGCCGCTTGAATTCATTTTCAAACGAACGGAAGTCGGCTATCCAGTGTGTCGACGAGCAATTAGAGCAGCAATAAAATATTTATTATTTAATAATGCTATGGCCATTCGATGCCCCAGATTTTCTTATTTATTTATTGTTTATTTGCGCAATGTTACTTACGCAATGTTTTAACAAATAAAAAGAAAAAGGCCATTTTATTACAATACAAATACTATTTCGACCTGTAATTTTGGTATTTATTGTGTCTTTTTTTTTTTGTTACTTTTTTCATACGGAAATTGTCGTTTACGCGTATTGCTCGCGGCGACTGTTTACAAGTTCCCTTCACAAACATCCGTCAATGCATCTATGCGCATACGCAACAGCGGCTATTCCAAAAATATGCGCAAATTCTTAAATAAATATTATGAATATTCCAATACTTAACAAGCGATGCGACTTTGGAGGACCTTGAAAATTCATAGACGAAATTGTAATAGGGTTTCCGAGGTCTAGGCGTTCTAAATTTATAATTCGCGTTTGAATATTGCGACGCCACGACACGAAGATCCGATGAAGAATCGGATGATGAAAAATTTGGCGAAAAAGAAAAAAAAGCCAGAGAAAAAAATCGTGGAAATCTGGCAGTGCGCTTGGAAAAAGAAAGTCAATCCAACGTGGGCCGCAAGTAAAAGCAAGACGAAAGCGGTAGGAAAAGGCGTGAAAGCCGAAGAGTAATCGGACTAACGCTAACCATTTTTTTCCCCTTTGATCGTCACAACAACAAAAGGAACAACAATTGACCAAGGCGACCGACACATTACGATACTAGGGGCCACCTATCTTTCAATCTGCATTCACGACGCTAAAGCAGCAGCCCGATGCCCAATTCGCCACCGCCCTCCACCCTTCTCCCCCCGCTGCTAATAGTGCGGCAAAGGCGGTTAGTTTTGCCGGCGGCTTTATCGCCCTCGGAAGCGCACGACCGGAAAGATCCGAGCCGCTCGCATTTCACAGCCGATGCGTCGAGGCTCTCCCGTGCAACAGCCGGACCGAAAATAAGTGCCGACGACGTCTGGGCGCGCACTTGGCGGCCTCGTCGAGGCAGGGGGGGACCGTTGCCACCGCCGCCGCCGCCGCCGCAGCCGCAGCAAAAGCACTCCAGAGATCCTTTTTTCTTTAGGGAGTACGCAAATAGGCGGGAATACTCGCGGGAGGGGCGGGGGATGAGCTAGCGGCCGTAAAGAGGGAAGACGATGTGATGGGGTGGGGTGGGGGTGGGGGTCTATCAGCGGTTAAGGTCGGCTCCCCGACAATAGCAACAAAAACAACGCGTGTGGAAACGCGTGTGGAAACGTGCTTTGCAAAAGTCTCTCGAGGTTGGTTTTCGGTTACATACGGGTCGCAAGCCCCGGCTAATTTTACCGGCCGAACTATTATAATTAGTACGGTTGCCAGCTTACCGAACGCCGTGATAAAAAAAAAAAAAAAAAAAAAAAAAAAGCCAAAGTAATTAACTCGCCACGGCTGTTACACGCTTCGTGCCCTTCGGTTTTTCATACGAGCCCTTAATACGTATTACGCGTGACGAGGCAAAATGAATTAGCTAGTGAAACGTTAACGAGAAGCCTTAACGAGAAGCTATGAGAGCTAGTTGAAAGGGCAGTAAGGTCGTATGGAGTGGGGGCAAGTGCATTATTTGCCATCGAAACATAAACTCGGCCGATTTGTGCGATTGGGTTCTAGCGTGGCGGCGGGTGGTGTGACGAAGAGGAGCGGAGGAGAGGGGCGTAAAGACAAGAGAGCGAAGAAGTGACCGTCGACCTTTTCTTCGTCCTTGGCAGTCTGAGTGTTGCTTAAATCACATGCCAATAATACAGCAACAGCAGCAGCGGCAGCAGCAGCGGCAGCAGCAGCAGCAGCAGCAGCAACAGCAGCAGCAGCAGCGGTAGTAGTAGTAGTAACAACAGCGATAACAACAACATCAATAACGACGACGACGACGACGACGACGACGACGACGCCGGCGGCGGTGACGGTGGCGGCGACAGCGGCATACGTTGAGGCGATTTTTCGAACGTCGTCGTTTCGCGGAAAGAGACTCGGCCAATGAAGAACGAATAAGCCTCCCAACCAATAAATTATCTTACGCCAAGAGCCGCGCGTATGTCGCACATACGCTCGAGGCTCTTCGGAACACGTGTGCGCGCACTCTACCTCAGCCGGGAGTGAGGGTAGGTCACGTGACGGGTCGCCCTCCCTTCATCGACTGCGCCGCTCGGCCCGGACCTCTTTGTTTTCTCGTTTCCCAGTTCGTCTCGGCGTTAAACCCGGCGATAGTTTTCTCAGTGGACGCTCGGAGATCCCGCGCGAGTGACTCTCGTTAGACGCGAAGGTATCCGTGACTTTATAGGCCCTTATGTAAGCGCGCACGCGAGTGAGATTCACTTTGATAGTGATATCGCTGGGTTAGCGCTCGGGTCCGAGTTGTAATCGAGAGCTTTATTATTAGGGCAATGAGGCGATGAGCGTAGGCGTGGGAAGATAGTGCGAGGTGGAGCCGGGATGTTGAAGCACTCGAGGAGGACGTCGGGAATGACGGCGGGACCGAGGCCGAGAGGCCCGGCTAATCTCGTCGTCCGCAGAAGGAGGCGAGGCCGGTCCGTGTCTAGGAGTTGGCCCGGGACACCCGGAACCTTGTCAATCATCTCTACAACTTCGTCCGAGGTAACGCGATGCGGTTCGTTTGGCTGCGCGAACCGTGTTGTACGAATCGCCTTTTGTTCCGGATTATATAAGTCATATTTTTTGCAACGGGGTCGTTGATAGCTTGAGAAGGAAGTAGTAGTTTTGCAAACAGTGGATTAAGAAAGACTTGGATAATTTATCGACTCGGTAAATGAGTTTCGTATAAATGAGACAGTCAGTTTCTCGGGAGAATTGGTGGGGGGGGGGGGGGGAGAGGGAAATGGTATATATGGCCCAATAATAAGCTCGAGTATTTATGAAATTTTAACCCGAGATATCTTGAAGAAAATACGATTATACAAGATATAAATAAATAAATTATATATATATATATATATGTGCGTATGGGGCTTAAATTTTATCAGCAATATTTTCCTTGCAATGAAATTCAGAAGCGGCAACTTATGATAATTCATAAAGTACTCAAAACCCTTAGAAGCACCCGCATATTGCGGCCATAAACGCCCAAAAAAAAAAAAAAAAACTCATTAAACAACTTTGTCCTTAAATATGTAAATTACTAGATTGGTTTACTACCCGGAACAAAGCAGATTAAATTACTTGTCGTCGTTTTAACGTTTATAAAGCTCGTGACATTTATAAATGCACTTATTTATATAATTTAATAACGAAATACTATAATTGCAAGGACCAGTGAATAAAATTGTATCAAGACTCGTATTCAATTTAAGTTGTTTAATAAAAAAAAATCTCGAACGAGCACGAACGGGTTGCGTTAGTGTAGAACTTTTCATGTACTTATAATAAAATAAATATTCGATTCGTAGAAGTCAGATAATCGCAAGTCCATTGATGTATATTTTAATTTATAAAATCCCAATGAGTCTGATGATGCTCGGTGAATTAGTAATTCGAGAAACCTAAATTACAATTAATAATGAACAAAATTTAAGAAAAACAAAGTTTTTCCTTGCAAAACAACAAAGCTTTTCACAGGTTGGTTTAGTCGTTTTATGCAAAATTAAAAGTTTTGATATTAAGCTTATAAAAACTAAATGCAGCATTAATACATAATATTAAAGTATTCTCATGCATTGAACGGCGATTTTATGTTAGAAAATTGTCGACATAATGACCCGTGTTTCAAACACCGAAAGCCATAATAATAATAATAACAATAATCACAACAACAACAACAACAACAACAACAACAACAACAATAATAATAATAATAACAACGACAACAATAACGATAACGACAATAACAATAACAATAACAACAATAATAATAATTAATAATAACAATAATAATAATTGTTATTACAGTAATAGTAATATAATAATAACAACAACAATAATAATAATTAATAATAATAATAATAATAACAATAATAATAATTGTTATTACAGTAATAGTAATAATATAAGATAAGATTCAAAGAGCTTTTGAAGGAGCCTTTCGATCGCGTGGAGTGCATTTGAATTTTGGAAACGGAATGAAACGTCCCCTGTACGCGTAATCAGATTTATTTCGGTAAATTAAATAGTAGTACTGCCGTGATTACTCAGGTGCCTCGCTAAGATAAATTTAACAGCTATTACTTATGCACAAAGTTTTTCTTCATGTTTAATTACAAAGTGTATTTAAACATTGGTGCTCAAACATACCGGATACGCTCGCTACGAGTCAGTACAGTACCTGCTATTCAAGAAAAATTTATGTCGCATTGATTTGTTATTTATTTCTTCTATCATGCAGCGCATTTATCATCCATCATATCTTAATTCTCCAGTACTTTCTCAGATAAAAATACACCCGATTATAATTTTCATAATTGCCCATATTATAACGAGCATTTATTCTTTATGGCGCGTTTTGTATATTGAAGCGAAGCGTATTGAAAGGGTAGCGCTTATAAATTACAATTATTAATTGTACTTGACTTTGTAGATCGAGAAACAAAATGAGAATCTCGTTAATTGTAATGCGAAGGCTGCGAGTGAGAGTAGTACGTGGGTTGGCTATCATAAATATAGCTCTACATGCACTCAACTTATCTCAATATTAAAGTTTTAATCGGATTCAGAAGACGAAAATGTAAGCGCGGGACTTTTCTTATCCTACGGGTCCTGTCATTTTGCCTCAATTTACAAATTTACGAGGACAAAAAATATAATATAAATTGTGAAATTTACTGTCCAAAATTAATCACCGCAGCAATTTCATCTGTGAAGTCGGGAAATATAGGAGGGAAATATCTTTAAAACAAAAACAAAAACAAAAATAAAAAAAAAAGAAGAAAAATTTTTTTTTATATATATATAAATAATAAGAAAAAAAAAACAAAATTAAGCCTACCGGTAGTGAGACAAAGACAAAACAAACATCAATTCTTTATAATAAAACTTAAAAAAATTTGGAATATTTATGAGAATGTTTTTTATCGAATGCCGATAAAGAGAGAGGAGATAAAGCCTGTGCATTTCAAAAATTATTCATAGTACTGATTTTAGAATGTTGAATTTCTTTGAGACAAAATATTTCCATTATTTTTCAGCGAGTATTGAGAAACATTCTACCTCGCATTATTCGATAATACATCAATTATTACCTAAACAAACCTATCGATTCTTAATTCATTTTACATTACATTATTTTATTATAAAAGCGATAATATTACGACGATACGGTTAAGTCGAATGTCTCAATGCCACTTTTCATCTTATTTTGAGTTCCATGATAATAATATTTTTTAACGATCCATCGACTTTGTTCCATTTTTCATCAACTGTCCAGACGACGACATCCGCCGTCACTCAATTTCGAGCCTCGCTAACTTTGTGCTTTTGTGGAATTTAGTACGTGAATTATCGATCGGACGGGAGAAATATCGACAATGCTCAAATAAAAAAAAAAAAAAATGAAGAAGAAAATGATAAACAAAAAAAAAAAAAACATCCTCCGTATGCCAATTTCAAAGAAAGTGTCTCTTCATGCCCGCGATAATGAGCGTCATCATCTCTGTCCCGTGTGCGCGCTCAGCAAAATTTCATCGCTGGCTATTGATTTTCAAATTACGTAATTGCACTCGCAAATTATATAAAAGTGTCCACGGCGAATGGGAGAAAAAGTCTGGAGCGCAACCACCACCATCGAGAGTTCATCGGGAGAAAAACGGGAAATAACTAACGAGCGGAAGCATTAATTACAGCCGGCGTTTCTTAGACGCTGGCAACACACGAATCATTAGCGGATTAATGCTCGTAATTGCCAGGGGCTCGGTCACGGTGGGGCGGGGGATTATCCAAATTATCCACGCGACCGCGCGGAAAAGACGTCGACGCGTCTTTGCTCGCGATATAATAATTCCGAGTGGGGGGGGGGGCCGTACCTCAGCGGGACAGTTATGGATACCCGACTATTTAGATAAAATAACCACGGGGAATAATAAATAGAGGCGGCTAGACTAAATCCTCGGTTTAACGGCTTGGTTGTCGGGTGGTTGGTAACCGGGGAGAGGAAGGATTCGCTCCTTATTGTGCCGCGGGGGAAAATAGAGAATAGAGACTTTATAATCTCGGCACTCGGGCTTATAATGGGGAGAGCGAATTTCAGATGAGAGTTTAGCGCTACGATGAGCCGCGACGTCCGAGGCGTTGTTGTTTTTTCCTTCGTCTTCCACGTCGGCGCCGTCGACGTCGTTGTCGTCGCTGTCGCAGTCGCCGCCGCACTCGCTGTCGCGAACTTACTCTCACACACGAATCATTTTAATGTGGCTGTTGCACGAAGCATGAAGTAATAGAATTGAACAGAGTCGAAATAAAATGTTGATAATTCTAATAAGTCGGAGCGTTCAATGTTCTTCGCGAGCATTATTGGAATGAAAATTAATTTACCGGTGGGAAAATATTATAATATTCTATAATATACGACACTGTATTATACAAGAGCCGATCGACATATTGTGAAAGACATTACTTAAAATTTCTTCATTCATAATTCTAATGGCATTTTTGCTAAACAAACTATAGTTTCGTATTTTTATTTCTTTATTTTTTTTTTTTGTTTTTTTTTTTTTTTTTAATAATGACGTCATTTACTATTTGACTCACGATGTTTTCATAATAAATGTCAAGCTATTTAAGACCATTATTTAACGTATTGGTCCAAATAGTCACGCCTCTCAATACCATAGTGGCGTCAAAATACGTTGAAATGATTTTTATTAAGAGCATGTCCAATGTCGAATCTTTATTGCTAGTACATGTCCAATAAGCAGTTTTCGCGGCAATATTAAACGAACGAAATTTTCAAGAAGTCTATTTATAGGGGAACTGGGAAATGTAGGCAAGTTGACGTGACGATTAAGATGTAAAATTTCGTTAAAATATGTACGAATCTATGTAATTATATTCCTGAAAGGAAGCGTATTCTTTTGCACGATGCTGCCTTGTATGAAATTTCTTTAATTCTTCTTCTTTTTTTTTTTTTTTTTTTTTTTTTTTATTTTTTTTTCTATTGTTATTTTTAGCCCTTGTGCAGTTGAAATTCATCTTGATATGGAAAAACCGAATAAACTCTGACGGATAAATTACTTAAGCCTTATCTTAATAGCCTGCCGATTGTGTATTACAAAATCATGAAATTCTCCAACGAGCCCAATGATAAATGAATAATATAACGCATTTGTATTATTAATGTTGCAAGCGCGAAGGAATGGAGAAGGAATCGAGGAAAAACGTTATTATGCAATTAACAAGTGCTTTTTTTAAAGTAACACATCGTTTAAAGCAACATTCGAACGTTAATGGCATTTTTCATTTAATACTTTCGTCGTACGTTTCACTATAGATAAAATTTATAAAAAAAAATTTTAGTACGCGACCGCAATGATTTAATACATTTACTAGGAATTTTTGCTCCATTACCAGGCCGAACAATAACGACCTTATAGCGCTTTATTAATAAATGAGTGGGAAAAATAAAAAGTCGATAAAAAGTCGGTAGCCAAGCGCGACACTCGAGTCCTTTTCCGATATTACGTCGACGCGTCCCCCGAATGGAATAATAAAATTCTGCTACAGTAGGCGTGCGATCGTTTCGTTTAAATAAAAATAGCTTAACAAATAACGATTATACACACGGCGCGGATGAGTTTTGAGTCGTCGTGACCTTAGCATTTAAAAATCCAAAGTGCGAACGTCGAATTTGAAGCCGGGGAATTCCGCTGACTGTCGAGAGTCGAGGAATGTCATTTGTTTACAAACAGAAGCGCGACGGAAAAGTGGCGGAATTTTCGCCGGTTCAGCGTCGCGCCATAATCCGATTGGGGATCAATTTTCGCGAATCGAGTCACCGGCGCCATCGACGCAAGGCCAAGGCCATGGCACTAGTATGCCAAAGATTAAAGCGCCACTCTTGTTTCTCCGTGATAGTCGTTAGTCATGTAGTCATGGGTGGCCGTGGCGCTGAGCGATGGGAAACAGATAGACGGTTGGTGGGGGTGGGGGGCGGGGGGCGGGGGGGGGGGCGGTGATTTGGGGAGGGGGGGACTACATGTAAAAACGATTAACGTGAGTTTAACGAGAGTTTCCGAGAGTTTGCTTACGTTGGTCGGTGACTTCACCGCCCTCGACGCATGTCATTTTTAATTAGATCGCGAGCGATGAACAGTAGTCGAGCGATCATCGATTTCAGCGTAACGCACACTCGTTGAAACCGATGATACCATCGCGAGGAGTGCGATTAATTTATAGGGGTCGAGAAGACGAGAAAGATCGATATGTAGGATAGTTCACTTGAATTGCGACGGGGGGAGGGGTGAGGGGTGAGGGGGGGGGTGGAGTTAAAACGGAACAAAGACAATAATAATATTTAGCATCGCATTTCAGGCATTGCACAACTTCTCGCCGTTGTCGCTCGCACTTATTTATGCGTTGCGTCACGTTGTACGTGTACATGTGACTTTGCACTGTCCCTCTCACTCCTACTCTCTGGGTTTCCTTACTGCTGCTTTTAATTCGTCATCTGCAAGTCGCGCCACGGACACTTGCAATTTTATACTTTGAAGAAAGTGAATCGAGCAAGTCATCCACAAACACGTTATTTTCATCTTTTTTCTAATTTGAACATTATTAAAGCGAATTATATGTTTTACGCCGTTAAAAAGCTGCTTTATGAATTCTAGCTGACGGTTAGGTAATGTGATATCCAATTCATTTTATGATCGTCCTTGTAACAATCGTGAAACAGATACGAATTGAATTTATCCGCCATTTGTAAATAAAATTGTACTTTTTAATGCCACGGGTGGGGTGGGAATGAAGCAGGCAAACCTATTTTTACAGAATATATACACACGATAGATCTGATTATATAGATAATTGATCGAGTAACTCATCCCATAATAATCAGAAAAGAACGGATTGAAAAATGTTATGAATGCAAGGTAGTTTAGTTTACCTTACAGTGTATGCAATATCGTTTGAATTGCAATGAACTCTATAATTATACTTTGCACGATTAAAGCGGCATTATCATTATTATGCTTAATCAACACCATCGCGGCACACTATGTAATTTGTTGAAATTAAAAGAAAAAAAGAAATCCCATTGGGAAGTTGATATTTTATTTTATTCTAATTGGGCGTGCAGAATTTTTTAAAAGATAAAATTACAATCAATCTGTGGTTCGTTTTTGTTTTTTTTTTTTTTGTTTTTTTTTGTTTTTTTGTTTTTTTTTTGTTTTTTGTTTTTTGTTTTTTGTTTTTTATTTTTTTTTCAGTATACACATGTAAAATGCATAAGAAATCTATTATTATTTTTAAAAACTATCTTCATAAATATTCCGTCTGCTTGAGCACAATTATTTCACTCTTATTCTTTTCTTCCACATAGGTAATAATATCGTTAGGAATATTTTTTTTTTTTGTTTTGTTTTATTTTTTTCATACAATATATATCAAATTTCTTCAACGAAATGCGAACCAACACTTGCACGCGCGTACAATACATCTTATTTGCTAAATTTCCAAATCTTTATCGTCCCTCGACAAATTTTGATAAATATTCGGATACGAAGCACGACATGGAATAATTGTCACGTATCTATGGATAGATGCTCACGGCAATTAATAACACGCCCAACCTTTTCCGTACATTAATCATCCGTCGCCGCTCGAAAAAAGGGAAAAGCCCAATGAACGTTGGTTTTCACTCTTTTTACATCGCGAGGATAAAGCGATGCCTATCGCGAGACTATCGGCTTTTGAAAGGGAAAGGAGTAGTGGCCCGGAGGGGTGGAGCTGAGGGAGGGCATCGATGGTAGGATATGTAGGTCGTCGACGGGTGCGTCAGTCGGGAAACAGCGCCGACAAATCGAATTCCTGAGCGGCATTTTTCCCCCATTCGACGCTCATGCCGGAAAAGCGGCGGAGACCCGTCGACGCTCTCATTCCCGGCGTTGCCGCATCCGCGGAGGAATCGCTCGTGTGAATCAGTGTATCAGCCGGAAGTCCGGCCCACGAGTTCCGGCCCCGAGGACTCGTCACTATCTCCCCTCCTCCTCCTCCTCCTCACGACGCCTCTCAATCTCTCTCTCTCTCTCTCTCTCTCTCTCTCTCAATCTCAATCTCTCTCTCTCTCAATCTCAATCTCTCTCTCTCTCTCAATCTCAATCTCTCTCTCTTCCCCTTTCCCCGGCGGCGTCACCATGTGCCCGTTATTTTCTGTACTGGTCTGCGCGACGACGGAAAAAGAGAGCGAGTGACGCGTCATAGTCATCGTCTCTCCTGAAAAGATATAAACTAATCCAGCTGAGGTGACACTTTTCCCATCCATTAATAAGAGATAACTTCCTCCTCCGTGGCTTCTGTGTACCACTGGTGGGGACGTAAAGATAACAAAGAGGAGTGTTCTTGAAAATCTGCTGGATTACTGTATGAGTAATAAAACGGACATTTTATCTCGTACTATGTTTTTTACTGGCATACTTTAATCTCGAAATATCATGGACGAGATTGTGAAGCGATGTATTGTAAATGTGTATGTAGCCGCCTGCAAGTTAAATATTGGGGAACTTTTGGTCATTATTTATTATCGAAAATTGCACTTTGGCGAATCATTTATCGTTATTATTGGCAAAAGACTTATTATAAATTAAAATTAGTTTGATGATGAGGCTATTCCGTGTCAGACTTAAATATGAAGAACAAAACATAGCTAAATAACATTTTTATCTTGTTATTCTCAGATTATGGAGTTGTTTATTTAACAAGCTCTTTAAATAGTATAGTGTATCATTGTATATTAATTAGGACTTTGCGAAGACAATAAGTTTGATTTAATTTTATAATATACTTTTGAAATTTATTGACATTTCAAAATGTGCACGTTAAGTTGTAACTACAAGGTTTAAACTGTTTATTGTCGAGATAGCGCATTTATGTATTAATATTTCAATAATAGTTTGTTGTTTTAAATGATAAGTGAAATAATTCATCAGTCGTCACATTAGATAATTAATTATCGCTTATTTTATTTTTCTTTAGAGGCCTCGGAGCAATTTGGAGGAAGGCTGATATATTTTAATAATAATATTAACGTGCGTTGAAAATTTTCTGCTAAATTATCTATTACGTTTCCGCTAGTTTTCCTCTATTATTACATTACTACGTAATATTTTTAAAATCATCATATTAGCGCTCATAGAATGCATTAAAGATATATGTCATTAATAAGCGTAGTAATATCAAATAAACAATATATTTCAATATATATATATATATACATATATAGTTGTTAAAGTAATTGATCATGTCAAAGTATCAGTTTAATGATTTTACTGCTGATCGATAAATAAGAAGCGAATAGTTAGTCGATATAAGTAGAGAAACGATCTATCCATTATAATTGGGTAGTCCGATTAAATAAATGCCGAATCATTGATCATGGGAGAGTTTTAAGATGAGAGTAACTTTCGACTGTAGTAGATTTTTTATGCTCTTGGTATAATATTTGTAATTTCTAATATATATATATATATATATATATATATATATATATATATATATATGACATGCCATTTATATATACAGAGCAATCAACAATAATTGTTTTTAGCGATTGTCGTTCACTCATTCTCTCTCTTCTTACCACCCGATTCTCTCCATGTTTATGTGCTTGGAACATTAATTGTCTTTTACCAAATGCATTCTAATAGCATTTTATCTGATCTACAATTAATAGATCCAAATATCTATTTAACAATAAAGATGTTTTCCATCAATTTATTTCTAAATTTCATTCAAATTAATAAAATTTAACATTATATCCGAGATATGAAAAACTAGATAAAAATTTGAAATTTGAATGTTTCATGCGAAATTTCATATTACAGTATGAATTTGGTTTTTGAATCGTGTCCTTTATAAGCGGATATGATCGAATATTTCATATAAAAATTGAATTCTTTAGGAGGCAGTATTTTATAATTATGATTTCGTAAATTAATTTTTTTTTTACTTACAAATTTGTGAAAATCGCAAGAGTTATTGTATTGTAAAGCTTATGTAAATTAAATTTTTAATGACGGCTGGATAAATGCATTGTATCATAATGGATGACGAAATTTCAGTCCAAAACGCAAGTTTTATCCTGTGACTTGAGTAAAATTTCTCTACCTTCTATTCATCTCACTTAACCGATGGGACATACTACTTTGGAAAGAGTTTAGCCGGATCATTTGCAACTAAAGCTTCACCACGAGGACAATGAGCGCATACCCCAATAATCGCGACAAACGCAACAAAGAGAACCATAAAGAAAAGGTTCAGCCCTCGACTAATGAACGTGTGCGCGTGTTCGTTGGATCGGTCGGCATTACGAGCAGATGAAAAAGCTACGGGCGAGAAAATGAAAGCCGTTTAAAGCGCATACTTTCTCCGTGTTTCAGATCGACTACCCGGAGGTGCACAGCGGTAGAATGCATCGACCTCCGCAGGCGCATCCCATCAGCGACCATCGCCAGGTCAATTTGGTCTTCGAAGATACGGTAAGTGAGCTCCAAGCGCCTAATTCTCCGTTTATCCTTTGAGTGCGAATTCCGTATCCTTGACTTGGCAGCCGGAGTTCCGGTACTAGCGACGCGGGTGGGGGAAGGGGAGTTTGAGAAGGAGACTCGCTCTCTTGGAGGAGTCGAATTACACGAAGTAGCTCTTATGGACTTTCGGCATTGGTGTTCGTTCAATTTGTTAGATGTGAAACTGTCGACGGCTCGATGAAGAACGAGAGCCGAT